CTTTTGTTCTCTTGGAACTTAAGAGAACCTTAAGTTTACTCATTTGGTAAAACCCCTACATGCTGATTTTGAATTTCCAGCACTAACAACTTAAAGTAATTTTATGCTGAAAAAAAGGGATGATTGCTGTAAATGTGTCACAGAACCTAGCTCCTAAGTATGTCAGCAATACATATGAAAATATTCTTCAAAACCTTAACAGCATAAGTCTTCATAATTCTAATTCAGACCTTTTGTTTAAAACCTCCTATTTTATTACTGCTTACTTATTACTAAAATGGTAATATTCCATAAATATACGCATTTACTTTTCAACTACAGGACTTCTCTTTATCTCAGGTAATACATCTACATATTATGCCAAATGAGTGTGCAGAGATCTTTGATATGTGATCTGTTTTGAAAAGCCTTCTTTTGAAGCCCTAGTGTTTACTAGACCATATCATAGATGTGATTTACATATGCAACTATTCAGGAAAAAGGCTGTCAATTAAGAATTCTGTACACCAAGTGGCATACACCAACATTCAAAGAAAAATCTCTGAAGTATCAGTATCAGACAAATTCTTTCACAGTGGTATGTTTTCCTCAAGTCAAGTTTACTCGCACAGCAGATTGCTTTCTCTGAATACCCTGCTTCCTACAATTTCCACTTAAAAACACAGAGGAACTAAAAAAGCTTTGAAATCACCACCACTTTTCAATAGTAAGTACTAAATATGTTTGTTTGACCCTGTACTGATAAAGCAATGCCGTATTAGCTTACTTCAAAAAACAGAAAGACCAAAACCTAAACTACATACATATATCATACAGTGTACAGTACAAAGCAAAACGAAATATTCATATAGAAAAGTACATTTATTTACAGACATATCAGTTTGCTAAGGTATAATCACTACATTACCAAAGAAAACTTTCATTCTCTATATTGTATAAATACCAAAAAAGAAATCATATTTATGCTAAAAATAAGGTTTCAGAGGACAATTTCATTGCAAATTAAAATGATGAAATGTTTTTAATCTATTTTTCTGACTGAAGATAACCTACAAATTTCAAGTCCACAGAAAGCTACTGTAACTAATGACAGTAATTTGTCACACCAGCTGAGGAAAACTGATTGCTTGAAAGTTTTTTCCTTAGTAAGAATATAAAAGCCAGACCTCTCCATCTTCAAATAATCACTTTTGACCTTTTTTATTTTTTTTTCTCTCCAAGAGAAATGTGCCTTCTCCACTTGATTTCCACATAGTATGAGTAGCAGGAAGAAAACAAAGAAGTGAGAAAAGGAAAAAGAATATTCCACCCCATTTACTTTTTTATATATATACTTGTAAGGAACACGGGAGAAGGGAAATAAGAGAAAGCAAAAGCACAAATGAAAGTGAAGAAACAGGAAGATCAGAGGAACAATGGCAATAATACAGGTTTTTATACTTAAAACTCACATTCCCTTTGTTACAAAAAAAAAAATCCCCAAAACTTAACATACATTACTTTTTTTTTTAATAGAACTGCAAGTCTAAAATTTTCAAGTCTAGACTATCTTCTCTAAATAACCTGTTCTGTAAAGATTTCCATAGTATTTATTCAAGTTCTCTCCATATTTTACCTGTGTAAATTAACAAAATAAATTGACTTAAAGGAAAAACACATACCCCAGTTCTGTCTCCAAAAAAATTCCAGTGTCTTCTGCATTGCAAAATGTTTTTTAACCGAGTAATGAACTCTCTGTATAAGCATATTGGAAAATCCTGTGCGTTTCAGAAGGTAGGCCATTGTTGGTGAATGCCCAAAAGGGTCAACTGCCCAACCAGACTTTGGTTTTACTCCTGAAAGAAAAGAAAGAAGCAAAAAGGGAAGAAAGTTTTACTTTTCACTCGAAGAAAGCTATACCAATAAAATTCAAAACAGATCATAAAGTTTCCAAGAAGATAAATTAAAATACACAGCTGAGTATTAAGCCTCCAGCAGAACACAGACTGGAATTAACAAGCTAGAATTAAATGGATAAACAATTAACAAAAAACCCAACCCAACCCAAACAAAATCAAACGCCTTAGAGACAAAGCATTCTGTCAAACTACATAAAAACACTGAGATTAGTACTCTACATTGTTACACTATTTCAATTGTGTCTCAAACACTTTTACATGTAACCATAATGATATACACCTCCTTTTTTACTTTAAGTAGTTTACAGATGTTACAGCCGGAAAGGAAAGCTGAAAGAAAATGAATGGATGGACTTGGATTGATGTTGTAGGTTGTTGAATTTTCTAATGTTAACCCTTGTTGGCTTTGGAACTAACTTTTCTTTTGATTTATTTTGTTGGTAATCATTAGAATCTCGTTGTTAATACTGTCTTTTCACCAAACTTCATAGTAGCAAATAAAGAAGCTATATCTAACTCTTGTTTAACTGATTCTTCAACATGGTTCCTTAGCCACATTTTTACTGTCTTACCAAAAAACCAGCAGGGAATGCATTCCCCTTTTATTAGGCCTTCCCCCCCCCCCATCTCTTAATTATGTCAAGCTGTGTTTATGGAAATTGCAATCTGAGAAAAACATAGTGAAACAGCTTTTCAAAATAATTTCAGTTAATTGGATGAAGAAATCTTAACTTATTATTAAAATCACTGTACAAATATTTTCTACATAAAAGGGATTATCTCTGCTTATGGAACATTATCTCTACTTATAGCACTACAAAAAAAAACCTCCCAAAGCGACAAAAACAGTTCAGCCAATGTTACTGCTGTTAGAAATTCCTCAAAGTTTCAAAAGGAAATGAGTCTGCTTTTTTTTTTTTAAAAAAAAAAAATGAACAATTTAACATTACAACGGGTTTAGGTTTTATAACTACTGCTACAACTACCACTAAATTTCATACTTACTTTTTTTGAAACCCTTGCATAAGAGAAACTAAAGTAATTTTTAAGTCATTTTAGACTTTCATCATGATTTTCAAAAGACAAAATAGCAATTGGAAACTGTTTATGATATCAAAGGTATGTAATCTACAATTCAGTATGATCTAGTATTATATTTTATTATGCTAATATACCATGCAGATCTTTCACTGATCAAGACAAAATGTTATGACACTGTTTATATACACTTCACCCAAGAACCCTTATTTACCAACAGTAATTGCAAATACTAGACTCAATCCTATAGATTCCAGTAAGTAGTCCAATTTAACATTTCAGGAAAGCAGTGTAAAGAGAGCCTTCTAGGCAGCTCAGAATTCTAAAAAAAAGCATTTTCTAATTGACCTTCTGTATTAACACAGCTAAATTTTAGATCAATCAACATACCGAGGTTCTTTTCCAGCCATTGATGTCCTTCTATCAGTTGGTCAATTAAAGCAAAATAATGAGAAGAGGCTTCATCAGGCATGACCCATCCTCCTGTTACTATTTCAAATTGTCCATCTTTTATTAACCTGAAAAATATGTACATTGAGTTCAGAAGCTTGCATATGAAAATACACTCTTAAAAAGTAATTTCTGAATCCCAACAGGTATTTACCAGGTACACGATGCCAAAATCTAAATTGCTTGTGCTACTTCCATCACTGACTACATCTTCTTTAATCAAACAGGTAAAGAATAAATAGATGAACAGGGAAATTTTTAAAGCCTCTCTGCAAGGAAAACAGCTTTACTGTGTGTGCCATAATATTTGGGGTTTTTTGTTTCTAAATCAGGAAGAAAGTTATTTCCTGCATAGATTACAAAACCAAACGTGTACGTGTCACAGCACTGAAGGGCAATTGAGCCAAGATGCCTCGGCATTGCACACGTCAAGCACTACTAATATCTCCCCATCTTTGATCTACCATTCTTTCCATTGTTTTAGAGAGCTGATCGAGCTTTGAAGTTTATGGTATCTATAAAGGATTAAGAACATCTCATTAAAATGCCTTCTTGAAACAGATCATTGGATGATGATCCAGTCTCTCTATTACAATGTCAGTGAACATAATGATCATGCTTCCAGCATCAGGGGGTCCCTAGAGTTAAATAATGTGATTTTAGTACTTATACTCTACACTAGCAGACAAATGTTTAACCAACCCAAGTAAGAAATACAGTAAACTTATCACATTATAGATAATACCTGTAAGAGTAATGAAAAACATATAGCAAAAATAATCTCCAGTGCAGCTTCTTTAAGTCTTACAGCAGTTTAACCAACATCTGATTCCCCTGAAGAAAGGACACAGCTCCCTAGTGACTATCCTTTACTGTTTATTGTGTTCCAAGGGATCTTTTTAATCTCAAAAAACAACAGCTGTGCTATAACGCTTGTGCACTGTACATAAATTTTTAAATAGATAGTTTTCTATATCATTCCCAAGATTTCCAGCATTACCTAAACTTTGCAGCTGTGAGGCTCTCCTAGCCTTAATGTATACTGCAAACCATGAATCTTGAGAGGGGGCATGAGAAGGAGGGCATAATAGACGTGACCTAAGAACTGCTGGATCCTGTCTTAAAGCAAAGGAAAACAAAAAAAAAAACACAAAATAAAAAAAGCCCACTTTTTTTTAAAACTCCAAATTAGATCCTCACTTCAAGTTTATCAAAGCAGCAAGCTTTCTTGTGTCAATGTCTAGCCAAACCTTTTACTTCTGTATTATATTTTGACTTGTGATTTTAAAAAGAACTAAGAGCAAGGGTGTAGAGTATGTACTACTTTACCATTTAAGCAGCTGCATGTTTTTTATAAACACACATATTGAAAACCAAAAAAAATCTCATTTCATAATTGTATGATAACCGAAGAAAAAAAATTACCATATATAAATAGCTATTATGAAAGATTATTTTTTATTCCATTGCCGATACTTCAATGAGACTTCAGATAAAGTTTATAATCACAACTCCATTCCAATCTCAATGACATCTTCATGGTTGTACATGGAAACTTTTAGTCAATTTTTTCAGCAACTCAGTAATTTGCCTTCACTTCTCTAAACAGATTTTTATTTTGTAACTGGAAAAAAAATGAACCAAGCCCAAAAAACCACAACTTGACTAGTCGATTATTCTAGTAATTCTGCATCACGCCAAGTGAAATCTCAAGTTTACAGTGTAGTCAAATACACTCAGAATGTGACACATAGAAGACAAGAAACAGTTCAATGTCCAAACCTTTTAACAGCATCTTTTCTTTGGCTATCTATTCCATCCCACCATTTTGAAAAGTAAGAAATCTCAGACCACATAAATTTCCTTCGGTTGTCTTCTTGCAGTTTTATAACCATGTTATTTAAGATATGCTGTGTCTGATCTCTGAAGTAATCATCAAAAGTCTTCAGCCAGCCTAAGAAAAAGAAAACATTAAATTGCTTTCAATAGTCTTAGAGACCTGCCTTCTTCCCACTCCCTACAAAAAAGCAGAAAATTTTAGTATTCAAAAAATAATTTTTAAATCTAATAAAAGAAAACCCCTTTATTCTTGAACAGAATCTGAATATTGATTCAGAAAGGATATATTACACTTCATTTCAAGGAAAAAAATTACATTCATCTTAGGTAGAAAGGCAGAGCTAATGTAATTTGACAATATGTACATTCTTTTCCAGTTCACATCAAACAGATAATTATGTTTCAAAGAAATAATCTTGTAATCAGGAATAATTACTAGACACTGGTGCACTACTTTCAGGTTGCACTCTTACTCTGTAAAGGTGAAATTTTAATAAAGTATTCAGAAACAAACAAAAACATGACAAATTTCTAAAACCCTTCCTTTTTCACTTTGCAAATGATGAAATAAAACTGTAACACTACACAGAAAAATTGCTAACTCAATATCTTTTTTTAAAAAAAAAAACAGTTGTTTAGCATCTAGAAGAATCATCACATCTGACATAAGTTTCTGTACAGATAGAACACTAGGGTCTATTCTAATCTGTCTTAAAGGGGAAAATACATTTTTGTCAAGACAGTTAGTATGAGGGCTTAAAATCTAAACTTAAACATACTTTCTATAGAGGTTTGGAAACAGTTTAATACAAAAAATTTGACAGCAAATTACTCTTACACAACAGTTTCACAAAGACTGAAAACGGAAAAGCAACAAGATGAATTTGTATTCCTTTTGTGCTGTTTTTAATCAAAATTTGTTGTGATCTCTGCCTATTTTGGTAAGTGGGTTTTTTTAATCGAAGCTTTCACTCAAAGAATTGAGTATACATAGCCAATTAATCTTTTTCAATGCTCATTTGCTTTTCAATAAATCAAAGAAATACTTTATGATATTTACATAAAAAGATCCACATATAGTAGTCTACAAATTTATAGTGTTTTACCAGGAATTTCTTCTGCAAGAGACAATACCATGCTAGCCAATAACAGACACAGGATTAACTAAAACTATCCTATCTTTTTCCTACACAGAAATATACCACAATAATAAATTATTTTAGCATATTTTTATATTGTAGCCATAAAAGCAAACATACTGACTTAGTCTTCTTAAACATTCTTGAAAAACTTAATAAACCAATCTAAATAAAGAAGCACATGGCTAAATGACAAAGCAGCTGGCGTAAGAATCTATTATGATGTAGGAAGAGCAGTGCTGTGATTAACAGTTGTTTTATTTTAATATATTCAGTTTATTAAGCTATATAGGAAGGGTATAACACGGTTAACACACTGAACTTAAAACACTTCAGAAAGTTCTAGGAAATATTGACAAGTATTAGTTGCAAGCCAATAGAAAGTCCTTTGAAATTTAATTACAATGCATCTGGCATTTTGCACTTAAATGTTTCTTTCTGAATAGAATAGTTTCAGTTGGAAGGGATCTACAATGACCATCTAGTCCAACTTCCTGACCAATTCAGGGCTGATCAAAAGTTAAAGCATGTCATTAAGGGCATAGACCAAATGCATTTAAACACTGACAGGCTTGGGGCATTGACTGCCTCTCTAAGAAGCCAAGTCCAGAGCTTGACCACCCTCTCAGTAAAGAAATGTTTCCTAACGTCGACACTAAACCTCCCCTGACACAGCTTTGAATCATTCCCATGTGTCCTGTCACTGGATCCCAGGGAGAAGAGTTCAGCATCTTCCTCTTCACGTCCACTCCTCAGGAAGCTGTAGAGAGCAATGAGGTCACCCCTCACCCTCCTTTTTGCCAAATCGGACAAGCCCAGAGTCCTCAGCCGCTCCTCACAGGACATGCCTTCCAACCCTGCCACCAGCCTTGTTGCCCTCCTCTGGACTCATTCAAGGACCTTCACATCCTTCTTAAATGGTGGGCCCCAGAACTGCACACAGTGCTCAAGGTGGGGCCGCACCAAGGCTGAATATAGCAAGACAATTTCCTCTTTTGTCTGGCTGGCTGTGCTGGGTTTGATGCACCCCAGGATGCGGTTTGCTCTCTCGGCTGCCAGGGCACCCTGCTGACTCCTGTTGAGCTTGCTGTCACCCAACGCCCCCAGATCCCTTTCTGCAGGGCTGCTCTCCAGCCACTCCTCTCCCAATTTACAATTGGGCCGGCTGTTACTCCATCCCAGGTGCAGTGTCTGGCATTTGTTCCTGGTAAATTTCATGCCATTGATAGCTCTTAAGTCCATGACTTACAGAGGCTGTCCAATTTTGCATGGAGCCATAAAGATTAAAAAAATTTATCAAAAGCTGAACAGAAAAATGAATAAATTAATTTACGGTTGCTAGCTGAAAGTCTGCTACTAAAGACTACCACATTAAATTTATTATTTCACATCTCAGTCCCTAAATCCAGTGCAATTCAAGTTCATTCTTGTGCTTATCCAGAAACTAAGAATTTTTTCCCAAATTGGAAGAAAAGATTTACCACTGTTATTTGGAAACTCTCAATACAAATACAGCTTACATATGGGAAAAAGTGCCAATGGTTTAAAGCTGCAATTAACCAAAACTAAACATGCCAACAGCAGCAAAATAACACTTGTTGGTTTAAATGTACATAAGGACCTTTGTCAATACAAAAACATAAACAAGAGAAAAAATAATACTGTCATTAATGCCATTATGCTAGTCCTGACTTAATAAGTATTCAGTATTTTGCCAGCTACATTCATTTTCTGCCAGCACATGTGATCACAATAAAGGGTACACACTGTTAAGCTGCTTGCCTTTTGATTGTCTCATTCATGTTTGTCCTCATAAGTGTGGCAACCTGATTCCTCCCACTCACCTGCTCCAGAGATTTATCATCATCATGCAGTTGTCCATTTTTTCACTTTCTTCCCCCACTTCGTTAATCTACATTTTCTTGGGTCGACAGCAGATTCCAAGAATCATGTCAGTGCAATCCATTGCTATGCAAAAAAATCCTGAAGCATCTCATTAACTGATTTGCTACTTTTCCTGTCTACACCTTCCGGTTCAATTTCCTTCTTGAAGCTCTACCAGCTTCTTGCACTAGGGAAAGGAATGGTTCTGCCTTACCACAGTTAAGACACACTTGTAGAGGCAATGCAAAGTTTCAGAACAAAATCAGAACGGAATCTGACAAATTAGCATTATTCAAAAAGTAACCTAATTAAGCAGAAGCACTTTACAATTTGATCACGACAAGAATCAACAATCAACTTTGAAAACACGAAACCGTTACTACTTGTAGTAAGCACTGCTTACACGCATCTGAAAGGCTGTTGGGTTTTTTTGACATTTGTATTTCTTCTGCCTTTTGGTTCAAAATTAACTGTTGAAATGAAACAAAAAAGACATTGAAAAGACTTACTACCATAAGTCATCCTCCACTGTTGTCCTGGGTTACAGTGTAAAATGT